AGAAAGGTATTAGCTGTTGTTCCACTACAGCCCTCACAGGGTCTTGTCCTTGGGCAATTAAAACTTTCAGCACACCCAGCCACCAACATGGAGATTTTACTTTTTGCATTTTTAGATTCCAACCAAAACTTGAAGAAGAGCCAGGAGCAGTGGCATATGCCTATGATCCCAGTGACTCCAGTGGTTGAAGCAGAAAGATCACAAGTTCAAGGCCAGTCTCAGGAACTTAGCAAGACCACATCTCAAAATAAAAAATAAAAAGGACTTGGAATGTAACTCAGTGGTAAAGTACCCCTGGATTCAATTCTCAGTACCAAAACCCAAACCAAAACAACAACAAAAAACTTGAAGGAAAAAGGATGGCGGGGGGCAATGCTTGAATGTCATGGAACAATTTCTGGGTCTGATTAGAGACATTTACTCAATATTCCTGGCCTTCTCCCCAACACACACACACACACATACACACACACACACACACACACACACACCCCTCCTGGGCTCCTAGAACCTAATTTTTCATGTTTGGAAAACCCAGATGATTTTTGCCTGGGTCCATCTGGTTTTCCAAATAACCTGTCTTTTTGATAAATAACGTAAGTTAAATTAGACAAGACAAACAAAGAGGGGCGGGCAGTCAGCTTTTTTCTTTCTCTCTGCCTCTGAGAAAAAGAGAAAGGAGGGCTGAAAAAACCCAAACTCCAGCTCACTTCCCACCCTGCCCCTGTACTTTCTACCCCTTGGACCAGGTCTACTGATTCTCCAGTCTGGAGCTGGCAGCTGCCCCTTCACCCCCACCTCTAGCCCACCATCAAAAATGCCAGACTGTGGTTCCCTGTAAATGAAAGGGAAGAACCCAGGAGTCCAGCTCCACAGCTTCTTCCAATCACCCTCAGGCTGTAGCTACTTCAAACCACCTCTTCCCATTATGTATCCCACCACAGGGAAGAACTAAATCAATAAACTGAAAATGAAAAACCTTTAAGGTGAGAGAAGAGAGGACAGAAAGAGGGGTTGGAAAGGACATGGATAATGCAGACCCAGATGATATAACTAAGGGACAGAGAGATTTGGCACCTAAGTCTCAAAAGGTAAAATCTGAGGTTGACAACAGCTGTACACAAGCCAGGCCTATTTCCCCAGTTCACTAGGAGTTTGCAGACCTCCATTCCTATCACTGTCCCAAGCCCTAGCACATGGCAAGCCACCACTCGCTGCTAGGAGAGGTCCACAGGCTGGTGGACTGTGGAGCTCTGTTGAGGTGTGGCCTCTGTTTCTCCTTCAGCCAGAGCATGAAGAGGTATCTGCCTCACCCCTTCCTCAGCACTAGATTGGCCTGCAGTACTGGGCCCTTAAATATGCATGATTTTTTTCCCATTACTTTGTACCGTTGATCCTAATCATAACCCTCTGAGCCAAGCCAAGTCATTTCCGATGAGTTTCATTTTCCAGTTGTGGAAAAATAATTCAGAGAATGACTTATCTAAGATCATGCCACTTTTAAGTTGCAGAGAGAACAAGGACTCAGTCTCACCCAAGTTACTTCTATTCCATTCTACACCTGAAAGCTTTGTAAGCAAATCAGCTCCAAGCTTTTCACCATTAGCTCTTCCAGGCCTTTCAACACTTGTTGCTCAAAAAGTATTCATTTATTGAATAATTTTATGTCCCAGTCATGGTGCTATCCAAAGCACTTATTTTTAAAACAGGTATGGTATCTTTCTTTCTTTTCTTTTTTTGATACTGGGGATTGAGCCCAGGGGCACTTGACCACTGAGCAACATCCCCAGCCCTTTTTACTTTTAGAGACAGGGTTTCACTAAGCTTCTCAGGGCCTAAGTTGCTGAGGCTGGCCTTGAACTTGTGATCCTCCTGCCTCAGCCTCCCAAGGAGGTTACAAGTATGTGTTGGTGTGCCCAGCTTGATATCTATTTTCAAGTTTATGGTCTAATAGAGAAAACAGTCCTCTACAAACATTAAGGTGGCAAATTGTGATAAAAGACCCAAAAGAGTAGGAAACATTAACAAAGATTACCTAGTTATGAAAGGAGTAGTAATGGTCACAGATGTTTATGAGAATGACTTATGCTAACATTTAGAGAATTATACATTAGCTTAAAATGGAGGTTAGAGAAGAAAGCAATTCAAGAAATAGGAAGGATGGAAGGGAGAGTAGATCAGCGATTTGGAAGCAGTGTTTTATCATGCAGGGTCTTGTAGGCAGTGAGAAGTTGGAACTTAATTCTGATTGCAATGGAAAACATCAAAAGCTTTTTTATTGCGTGTATTGAATGCTGGGGATTGAATCCAGAGCCTTGTGCATGCTAAGCATGTGCTTTACCAGCCACACCCTCAGCTCTGTTGAAAGGTTTTAAGTACTGTTGCACATCCTCCAAATTATGTTTATATAAAGGTTACTCTGACAGCTATGCAGATTGCATGAGAGGGAAGCAGCTTGAGTGACTGGAGGCATGGAGGCAACATATCAAAATGGGAAACACAGGAAGAAAACCAGGTTTTCTGAGGAGGAAAAATCACATTCTTAAAGATGTTAAGTTTGAGGTGTTTGTGAGACCAGGGCCTTTAAGGATGACCAGCAAAATATAATGCTATTGTGATACTGGCAATTTTTTAAAATTTATTTTTTAGTTTGACACAATATCATCTTTACTTTATTTATTTTTTGATGGTGTTGAGGATCAAACCCAGGGCCTCGCATGTGCTAGGCAAGCACTCTACGGCTGAGCCACAACCCCAGCTTGATATTGGCAATTTTTTAAAAATGTTTTTTTAGTTATACATGGACACAATCTTTATCTTGTTTATTTATTTTTATGTGGTGCTGAGGATTGAACCCAGGGTCTACTCACGTGCAAGGTGAGCATGCTAGCCACAACCCCAGCCCCAATATTGGCAATTTTTAATGTTTGCAGAGTAGCACTTGACATAATGTGTTCATCACATACATTTTCCAAGCTAAAGCTCATAGCAACTCTAAAACAGACATGAATTAGGATCCTCATTTCATAGTTATAAACAGAGGCTCTGAAAAGTACAGTATTATTTATTCAATCCTTACTGGGTAACACTACATTCCAGGCTGTGTCAGGCCATGAATAGGAAATGAAGGTAGAAAATAAGTAATATTTCAGGGATGATACAATAAAGTCATATCATGAGCCAGAGATGGTGGTGCACACCTGTAATCCCAGTGACTTGGGAGACTGAGGTAGGAGAATCACATGTTCAAGGCCAACCTCAGCAACTCAGTGAGACCCCTGTCTCAACATAAAAAAAATATAAAAAGGCTAAAATGGGATTGGGATTGTGGTTCTGTAGTAGAGTGCTTACTTAGCATGTGTGAGGTACTGGATTCAATTTTCAACACACACAAAAAATAAATTAAATAAAGTTAAAAAAAAAAAAGGCTAGGGAAGTAGCTCAGTGGTAAAGCACCCCTGGGTTCAATTCCCAGTGCCCCCCCCCCAAAAAAAAAATTGGTCTTCTGGCCTGACCAATAGAAATTCAAAAAGTGGGGGTAAGTTTGTAGAGAAACAATTGAGAAGATAAGGGATCCCATAGTGATTTCAGCAGGCAACTGACCTCTAGAGCTTAGCTGAAAATAATCTGATGTTTTATAGAAGAGACCCTAATATGGTTGGTGCTACTGTGGACTGAAAAAAATGAGACTAGAGACCTGCTTAAAGTCCCCTCCAACTCCTGGTCCAGGGGATTGAAACCAGGAATACTTTACCACTGAGCTACATGCCTAACCACCCCCCAGCTTTTTTTTTTGAAACAGGGTATTGCTGTTACTGAGACTGTCTCAAACCTGTGATCCTTCTGCCTCAGTCTCCCAAGTAGCTGGGATTACAGGCCTGTGCCATTGGCAAATCTTGAACTTTTATCTCTCCAAATATGAAATTTCCAAGCTAAGAGAGAAGCTGTAATCTCAGTTACTCAAGGCTGAGGCAGGAGGATTGCAAGTTTGAGGGTAGCCTCAGCAACTTAGTGAGACCCTGTTTCAAAACAAAAATAAAAAAGGGCTGCGGGTATGGCTCAGTAGTAGTGTACCCCTAGATTGAATCCCCAGAGTACTTCCCCAACCCCCATTCCCCCCACAAACAAGCTAATGGAGCTCAGTTCTACTAGGAGTCAATAGTGGTGAGCCCTAGGTTCCAGTTTACTAAAACAGCAGATGCTAATGACTCAGTGCTCCGGGTTAAAGGCATGTGGACCAGGCTGAAACTCTTCATTCAATCCTGTTACCAAGATCAAGGCTTATCTTGCTTATGGCAGCTATACTGGCATGAGGAAAAACAACGTAGAGTTTTAATTTTAGATTCCACATTTCTTTTTCCAAAAAGCACATTGTCCCTGGAGCCTCAAACAGAAGCCATTTGCTCCCCAGATTTCTCAGGCACTGATTTTATCCTCAGTGGTCAATTCCAATCATCTTCACCTCTGTTCTACAAAACCCTTGCCACCTGTGCCCGCCCCCCACCCCCTGCAAAAAAAGCATGTGGAGAAGAAAAAAGGGATAAATTTCTAGATTTTCTTCCTAGTTCTTTTTTGCCCAGGAAGAACTGCTAAACATTGGCCACTATTTAGAGAGATCAAAGACCCACCCTTAGACCCACAGCTATGATGAAATAATACAAAGTTGGCTGAGGATAAAGTGCCCCCAAAGGGCTGAAACAACAGGTACCATTATGTAAACTCTCCTCACCTGCACTGAACTTAGACTATTAGGGTTAGTTAGTCTGATCAGTGGACAGGTACTGATGGGCCAGTGAAGAGATAACTGCAGCAGCCCCCGGCTCCCGACTCAGAGGGCCTTCCTGGGAGGGAGAGGCCCTGAAAATGAAATGCTCCCTAAAATTAGATTGGTACTGACCTAAAAATGAGCATTCAAGTGACAGAAAATCCTGTCTTCAAGACATTGGGATTTATTGAAAAACTACATACATATTAAAACAACTTTATACACATATCCCACATTACAAGATTACAAATATACAAACATGAATTCTGTTAAAGACAGAATCTTGAGTATTAAAAAACTGTAGAAAACCCACACCCTAATTTCATCACTTAAATTGGTGTTCCCCATCTCCAAATAAAAAACCGAAACAATCTCATCCAATTTCCCAAGTCCAGCTCCTGAATGAAACTGTAACATTCATATGGAATGTTTATCCAAAGCAGCACTAATGTTCAGGTTTGAGAGGGAAAAGTCAATTTAAACTTCTGAGAACCCCAGGGTAACTTAAGGAAGTGGGGAATGATGGAATTCTCTTAATGACATTTTTATTAAACTCCATGGTGGTCTCTCAACATTAGTAATGACATATTAAAATGTCCTGAATGGTCAGAGCATTATGCTCAACCCAGGAGATGCGATAAATAATGGTTATATTTCTTCTTGTCAGATAAAAGAAGGAGGGTCCTTGAGAAACAGTGTTTCAAATTGAGAATTTAGTCCCAGGAGAAATCTCTGTGCTCCACAGACTAATAGGGAGACACTGGGTGCAACTCTTTATCTTCATTCCACACCTAAGAAAATTAGGGGTAAGGTATTTTAGAATCTATACCAGTTTAAGTCCTTATTATAAAGGCAACAAAGGTCATTTAGAAATTTGAAGCAGCCTTGGCAGGAAAACGGAAGGGGCAAGCCTAATACAAGAGTCCATTTGTTGTTTCCTAGGTCTCAGTTTAAGTCTCTCCTTCACTGAGTCCTGGTCACCATGGTAAGGATCTGCAGGTGTGAAGGAATCATTCTTATATTTGTGCCACTTTCTGTAATTTTCTGCAGCATTATACTTCCTTCCTCCCCCTCTTCCTCCTCCAACCACCTCTATCAAAGAGGTGTCAACCCAAGAAGCTGCTAGAATATAATGTTAAATGTTTAATGAAGGAAGTAAGACTTCAATCAAATATTACATATGTCGACGTTGGGGACACTGAAGAATTAAGATTAGTGGGCAACCCAAGAAATAATATTAGGAAAAGGAAAAGATGTCCAGAGCCATGTAGTAGAAAAACTGGAATCTTTGTTCATAATCATAATGCATTAATTATGAAGGAAGGAGAGTTCATCAGTATGAGCATCAATTCCAACCTTCAGTGACAGAAACTTCTCAAAATAGTCTCAGCATAGGTGTTGGCATCCTTTATAGTGTTAGCTTTCTAAATATTTGAAGATGCTTCGCTTCATTCCTGGGGTGCTATCTTCTGTTCTGAGGCGCTTAGAAGGGGATGTCATTAACGATGGACCTCTTCTCCTCACCTAGAGAACAGAGAGGAAGTCAGGGCCAGCTTAAAACCCTCAAATAGGTACTTACTTACCTCCAGTTAGCTCTTAAACAACTCAGTTGAATCATGGATGATTCACAACAGAAAATAAAGAAAACAATATAAAAATTTTCCGACAAGTTTAAAAGCTAATTACCTATTGGGGGTAGCAATTCCCCTGTACGTCATTGGGGAGCACAGAATTATGACACTGTAGCATAAGTTATTAGACCAGAACTTTTGTATTTTAATTAAAATAAATAAATTTTGCCTTGGAAGGTACCACATTAGTTCTCAACTTCCTTACCTGAGGCTTAGATGATTCCATTGCTGCCTCAGCCTTGACAGGAGAAAGTGTATGAAAGACAAAGTTTCTTGAATTTCGGGGAGCACTAGGGTTGCAATCAGAAAGAGCAGCCAGTTTCTGAAGCACAGCTTTGGGCTGGTTTAGCAGTGAGCCTGTCTTCAGCTAAGAAATGAAGAGTTATCTGATATTAAATCCCAAATGCCAAGGAAGAACAAAAAGTTATTTACCCTCTTTGCTCCCCTACAGGTATTAAAGGGACATATTTCTACTCTATTTAAGTCAAAAAGAAATAGCAGGCACCTTTGATATTCTCATTTCCTGTGGCCACCTCCCTACCTTAGGGAGGCTATTCTCTTAGCTTTACCTGGGCCTTTAAAACCTGTACACCATGACTATCAGACTGACAAAGTTTCAACCAACCTGGTGAGCACTTCCAGGTTTGATGGCTTCAAAAGGATCACTGAGTGGAGGCTTTGATTCCTGAATAACCACAGGGCGTTTAGCTGGAAAGAAAAGACAGACAGGACTGTTCTAAGCAAAGCTAGGCAGAATTACTTTTGCATATAAAATAAACATGCTAAGAAACCTCATAACTAAACCAATGAGCTAAAACAAAGAAACTTTTTCATTACTCTGAGCCTTAGATCATAAAGCAAAAGCAGCTATATAAACCCACAAGCACAATCTCTGCTGCCTAATAGTCTAAGATTCAAGTATTCTGTCTCTTCCAACCTCTGTGATAGTATTAGATACAAGCTTAAAACTAACCTCCAATAGCTCCTGAAGGTTCATGTCACTTCTAAGGCTTCAGCACTAACAATTCAAGGGGCTAGACCCTAAAGAGATATAAGAACTCACCATTCTTCTGCAGTGCTTTTGCTGTAACTTTCTTGGCTAGCATCATAAACTGACTGTCTTCCCCAATTTCTTCTTCTTCTTCTTCAGCTGTAATTTTCCCCTGCTGTGCCTGAAAATAAAAACCATACAGCATTAACATAAAACTCCATAGCTTCCCTAAATAGCATAGCCTGGGTTGTGAAGCTAGGTTACTGGGATATCATTTGTTTTTGCAATCTTCGCTGCTTTAGGAAAAAAAGTTTTGGACAAATAAACCTGAAGATAATTGCCCATCATCATTTATCCTTCTCAGTGCAAAAAAAGATTCAAAGGGCTAGCAAATGGCCTAGGGTTGTGGCTCAGTGGTAGAACACTTGCCTAGCACATGTGAGGCACTAGGTTTGATCCTCAGCACCACATAAAAATAAATAAATTTTAAAAAGGTACTATGTCCAACTAAAAAATAATATTAAGAAAAACATATGTTGACTAAGATTTTGAAACAATCATGTTAAGTTAAAAGTGACTGGGTCCTCTCCTTTTGATAAACTAAGGTCAGAATAGGGAATTTTTTTTTTTTAATTTTTATTTATTTTTTTAGTTTTCAGCAGACACAACATCTTTGTTTGTATGTGGTGCTGAGGATCGAACCCGGGCCACACACATGCCAGGCAAGAGCACTACTGCTTGAGCCACATCCCCAGCCCCAGAATAGGGAATTTTTTTGCAGACTTTCTACCTGGTCTCGAAGCCATTGCTCTCGTTCAATACGCTCCTTTCTCCATTTGGCTTCTGTTTCATCAAGCTGTTCTTCAATCTGATCATCATCAGAGTCTCTGTGGAACAAGTCCATCTGGGAAGCATCATCTAAAGCAAAAAGTTAAGGCTTTTAGCATTCTGCAATCCCCACAGCAGAAGATAATCAGACAGATACAAAATAAATCCCTATCAAATACTGTACATTGACATAAACCTTTCCCACCCACTCATAGAAAACAATGGTTATGTCAGGCAGGGGCTTGGAAGGCCGAGACAGGAGGATCACAAGTTCAAGGGCAGTCCCAACAACTTAATGAGGCTCTAGCTACTTAGTAAGACCCTGTCTCAAAAATAAAAAATAAAAAGGGCTCAGTGTTTAAAACACGCCTGGGTTCAATCACACATCCAAAAAAAGAAAACAATGGTTATAGCTAAGTCCACTGGTTGTCATTTGCCAACTTAACCTGGACCAAATATGTACATCAGAACCTTTTTTTGTTTCTTTTGTATGTATATGCTACACAAGATAGTCAAGTGCTCTAGCACTGAGTAAACATTCTCAGTGCTGAAACCATTTGTTTCCAAAGATAGCAACAAAGATACCTATATTTTTCCATCGGAATTTTCTCGTTCGCCCAGGACCATCACTGTGCAGATCCCCATCAGCAAGGTACCTCTCTTGGTATAAACGTAGTTTTCGTTTATCATCATCCAACATTGTTTTCCTACAACAGGAGAAATAAGGTGTTCAAAACCAGGACGATTCTGGCTGATTTTAGGGCCTGCCTTAAGAAGCATCCTGTTACTTAGAATTATTGGGATACTAACATGTGTATTTTCTTGATTTGACTTTGCAATTCCTCATCAGAAGGAAGTACTTCATCAATTACATCCTCTTCATATTCATCAATATCTTCCCCATCATACTCATCTTCACTTCCCACGTCACTTCCTGACACCTCTGCCTCATCCTCCAGGTATTTCTTCAATCTCCTGGAAAATAATTTTCAAGATTAGAAGATACAATAATGATTACATACACAGAACATGGACACAATAAGAAAAACAGAACACAGAGTCACCTATAATAACAATATGCATAAACTTAAGAATGTATTTTGATAATATCTAAAATAATGTTTTCTAAAATGCTTAAAGATGAGCCAGGCGTGGTGGCACATGCCTATAATCCCAGTGACTCTGGAAGTTTAGGTAGGAGATCACAAGTTCAAGGCCAGCTTCAGCAAATTAGCAAAAACCTGACTCAAAATAAAAATTTAAAAAGGTCTAGGGATATAACTCAGTGGTCAAGTGCCCCTGGGTTCAATCCCCAGTACCCCCCCCCCCCAAAAAAAAAGTTGGTCACTTAGAACATTCCATATGCCAATAATTGCTTTATAGTAATTTTAGGAGTGGGTACTAGTATTTCCTTCATTTTACAGTTGATAAAGAGAACAATCAGGACATGAGGAGACTAGAAGCAATGACACTAGTAATGTTATTAGTTCTGGAAAGAATTATAGACGTTTACCATAGAAATCACCTAAGGAGATTCACAGAGATTATACAATTTACCAAAGGTCACAGAGCTAGGAGATACAACAGCCTGAATTTAACCTAGGCTGGGTAACCATATTAGGAATACCTGTTGGAAAATTAAACTAGTTTGTTATGCATTTAAGTATACCAGGTTTTAGGAGATGGTATGTTATAGCAAGGTCATATACTGGGATCTTCTTACAGCTTATCAAACCTCGACCCGCTCTCAAATTAGAGGCAAGACTAAAGAGAAGAGCTCCTGGTAATCAAAATTACCTCTAGTTACCTTTTCTAATTTCAGCTCACCATAAAAAGTCGGTTACCACTCTGGGTTCCAAGTTCTACTGTATATGGTGACAAGAGGAAGAACTTTGGTTTCTTCTGAAGGCTGATTTTTATCAAAGAGTTTTAGACTTTTTTTTTTTAAAGCTAAATTCCTCTAAATTCAAGGGTTCCTGGGGAGTTCCTTAGGGGCTTACTAGTCACTAAGTTTCCCAATCTTCCCATCCACCTTCTTTGAGCATTCAACTTTTAGCTTTATAAAACTTACATCTAAACAAAAAGCTCTGTAGTAAAATAAGGCTTAAGAATCATTTCCCTAGAAAACTCTACAGTTAGCCTAAAGCTGCATGAAATAGTTAATCTGACAGGTGACAAATTAGAACCTTAAACAGATCTTAATGGAATGGAATGAAGGGCTAAAAGCAACAGTATAAATCTAACAAAGGATCAATACACTATCCTGTACAAGAATTCAAAAACAATTCACATACTATTTAACAAATTCCTATTAAAATTATGTTTGTGAAATTTTTTTTAACATCACAGGGAAACTTATAGGGAAAAGCAAGATGCAATATGAAAAATTTTATAAATCTCAACTATACCAGTGGGGGGACTCTAATCACTGAACTATATCCTGAGCCTTTTAAATTCTGAGACAGAGGCTCACCAAGTAGCTGAGGCTGGCCTCAAATTTGATCCTATAGTTTCAACCTCCCCAAACACTGTGCCCAGACCATTCTATATTCTTTTAAATATACTTAAAATAAATGTTTTACTTTCATGATCCGAACAACAAACATTCCAAAATTCCAAAAATAAAATGGGTCATTTGCCCAAGACTAGAATGAAGAAAAAAAAAAGAAAAAAGAAAAAAAAAGAGCAATTCATAAAAAATAAGTCCCAGAGAACTTTAGTTATCTACTAGATCCTCAGGATTTAAAGTATGGCTCTGCCCTTAAGATCTTTGGCCATATTATAAGTAGTATACATCCAGTTCAAGGAAATAGCCAGACCACACTTGAAGATAGAGAATATCCAGGATATAAGACTGAAAGTTCTGTCACAAGAAATGTTACTAGTTCTGGAAGACACTAGAGAGGTTTAGTATAGTCATGACTTAAGGAAAACATGACCATCTTTAAGTACTCAAGAGATGTCATGTGGAAGAAGGATTTTATTTAAACTAAGTTAACCACAAAAACAGAACTACAACCAGCAAATTCAGAAAAAAAATATGGCATGATATAACTCAATTATTAGGGGAACTTTCTAGCAGTTGAAAGAATGAACATAGTACCTACATTTGCCTTTTCAACTTCTCAGATTGCTTCAGGAGTTCTTCCTCATCATCTTCATTACCAGAGTCACTGTGTTCCTCCTGTAAAATCAGTTATCACACCCAGTTAAGCAGAATAAGATGTGTCCTTAACAAAAACAGGATTTATAGAAGTTTAATACTCTCATGTCTTAGGTATATATAAATCTGATGTTATATTTCCTATTTAAAACAAAGCAAAACAAAACACCTATGGGCTGGGGTACTGCTCAGTGGCAGAGTGCTTCTCTAGCATGCATAAAGCCCTGGGTTCAATTCCCAGGACCTTACACAAAAAAATTATTAAAAATAGGATTTAGAAACTTCTGCTCATGGGCTGAGGGTTATATCTCAGTTGGTAGAGTACTTGTCTCGCAAACATAAGGCCCTGGGTTTAATCCCCAGCACCAAAAACAAACAAAAAACAAATGCTCACATGCCTCATTATGGGATACTGTTGTATCTCATAAAATGCTAAACTCAGGATTTTCAAGAACTCAGACAAGAAAAAAATTCCTAAGGGCAGCAAAACATGGAGTTCAGTTATACTCACTTCATCACTATCAAATTCATTTTCATTTGGGACAAGCTGAAAGTCTCCAAATTCTTCCTCTTCATCTTCTTCCTCCCTATAATGCAGATCAATGAACCAATAGATGTTAGAATTTTTTTTTTTTTTTGGTTCTGGGGATTGAACCCAAGAGCGCTCTTTCACTGAACTACATCCCCAGCCCTTTATTATTTATTTTGATATAGGAGCTCCCTAAATTGCCCAGGTTGGCCTTGAACTTGTGACCCTTCTGCTTCAGTCTTCAGAGTCACTGGGATTATAGGTGTGTGCCACTGGAAATGGCATTAATAAAGAAGTTTTGTTAGTTTTTTTCAATATTTATTTTTTCGTTTTAGGTGGACACAATATCTTTATTTTATTTTTATGTGGTGCTGAGGATCAAACCCAGTGCCGCACAAATGCGAGGTGAACACTTTCCCTCTGAGCCACAATCCCAGCCCCAATAAACAAGTTTTTTTTGTGGGGTTTTTTTTTTTTTTTTTGGAGGCGGGTACTGGAGATTGAATCCAGCGCTGCTTTATCACTGAGCTATATCCACTATTCCTTTTTATTTTGAAACAGGGCCTCCCTGGATAGCTCAGGGTCTTGCTGCGGCTGGCCTTAAACTTGTGATCCTTCTGCCTCGGCCTACCAAGTCACTGGGATTAAAGGCGTAAGAGCCACTGTGCCCAGCAATAAATAAGTTTTGAAAGCAAACTACAAGCAACAAGCTAAATTAAGAATTTAAAATATTTTATCAACACAAATAATCTCTTCAACAAACCAGAGATAGATATTTTGCCTTTTAAAAAATGTTTTAATTGTGATAAAATACATATAACATAAAATTTAGCCTCCTAACCATTTTTAACTATACAATTTGGTAGTGTTAAGTACATTTACATTGTTATTCAAACAATCAAAACTTTTTTCATCTTTTAAAACTGAAACTCGGATGGGGGTGGTGGTACAGGTCTATAATCCTAGTGGCTAGGGAAGATGAAGCAAGAGTATTGCAAGTTTGAGGCCAGCCTCAGTAACTCAGGGAGACACTGTCTCAACATAAAAAAATTAAAAAGGGTAGGATGTAGCTCAGTTTTACAGTGCTTCTGGGTTCATTCCCCAGTACTGAAAAATAAAAACTGAAACTATACCCAAACAACATTCCATTCCTTCCTCCTTCCAACTCTTGGCAACCATGATTTAACTTTCTGCCTCTATGAATTTGACTACTCTAAGTGCCTTACATAAGCAGACTCATAACAGCATTTCTCTTTTTCTGACTAGCTTATTGTTCTCAGCATAATATCCTAAAGGTCCATCCATGTGGTATCATGTGTCAAAATGTTTTTCTTTTTAAGTTAAATATGTCATTGTATATACCACATTTTGTTTATCCATTCATATGTCAATAGATCATGGGGTTGCTTCCATATTTTGGCTATTGTGAACAATGCTGCTTTGAACATGGGTGTATAAATATCTCATGAGTCCTTGTTCTCACTTCTTTTGAGTCTATACTAAGATGGGGAATCACTAGATCAGATAGTAATTCTGTTTATGATGATGATGATTTTATTTTTTCTGGGGATTGAAACAAGAGGTGCTATACCACTGAACTATACTCCCACCCTTTTTGTTGTTGTTGTTTTTTTGAGACAAAGTCTCACAAAATTGCTGAGATGGCCTTGAATTTACAATCCTCCTGACTTAGCCTCCCAAGTTGCTGGTATTACAGGTGTGTGCCAATGTACCTGGCTCTATTTTTAATTTTGGGGAATCATCATATTGCTTTCTATAGCAGCCACACTATTATACATTCTCTCCAAAAGACACAAGGGTTCCACGTCCTTTATATTCTCTAACACTACTGATTTATTTTTTATCATAGTCAATGAAGTCAGTACTTCCTTGTGGTTTGCTTATTTATTTGTTTATTTATTTATATGTGGTGCTGAGAATCAAATCCAGTGCCTCTCACATGCTAGGCAAGTGCTCTACCCCTGAGCCACATCCCCAGCCCTTCCTTGTGGTTTTGATTTGCATTTCCCTAATTACTAATGATGTTAAGCATCTTCATATGTTTTTTTCTTCCTTTTTAAGTGCTAATTTTCAAAGTATTACAATTGCATTACTATGCAAATATAAATTCAAATCCACTGTAAGACTCTCTGACAAGATATTAAGCCTCTAAGACGATCAATTATTACTAAACCTAGAAAACCTGATTCTAGGATTTTACAAAAAGACCAGGACTTCTCAGATTTCCACCAATCTGAGACTCACCTGTCCGTTGGGAAAGAACCTGAGCACAGAGCAAGCGCTTCTTCCATTGGATCAACCATGCTGTTCTCCTTTTCCTGCTTACTCAATTCCAGCGGAGTCAGTGAGGAGGCATCTACATCAACAAGAAAAAAATTTTGTTACTAAAAATTACAATTTTATCCTCTTTTCTAGCCACCTAAAGACATACTAGCTCAATACAGTTCCAAGGTAAACTTGCCAAAAACTTCACCATCCATTCATTCAACAAATCCATATTTATGCTTACTATATGCTGAGCACCAGGGCAACAGTAATGAACAAAATAGATCTCAACTCTCTCACAGAGTTTACATTCTAGAAGGTGTGTGTGTTGGGGGGAATGTGAGCATAGATAGAAAATAAGTTAACATTTATATGGAATTTACTACATCCCAGACATTGTTCTAAATTTTGTACACAAATTAATCATAAATGACATGATATGGACAAAACTAAAGCAGTCTTAAATTGACACTTTACCATTCTAAGAAAGTAAAGATCTAAATGTCAGGAACTACACAGTGAATTCTAACAACATGCAAGATTCCATCATAGTCCTATTTTCTAGGAAATTTTCACCTAAGGATTCATGGATTCTTTTCAATGACACTGACTTAATATTATATTTGACTCTGGTAGCTGGGCATGGTGTACACACTTATAATCCCAGCTACTTGGAAGGCCAAGGTAAAAGGACTGAAAGTTCAAGGCCAATCTCAGTAACTTTGTGAGACCCTGCCTCAAAAAATAAAAAGAGCTGGCAGTGTAGCTCAATGATAGAGCACTTATGGGTTCAATTCCCAGTATCACCAAAAAAAATGGAGCAAAAAAGAAAAAAAATGTGGCTATAGTAAGCCTGTTGCCTATTGTTGGACATTTACCCTGAGAAGTGAATTTTCCAGAGCAAAGATTTAGAAGTTCCTCCATGTTCTCTTTCTTGTCACTCTTACTGCTTTGACATTTTTCAGACTGAGATGCAAACTTCCCAGTACACAAATCCAACAATTCATCCATGTTGGCATCCATGGCATTCTCATCCATACTGGCCAATGGCAACTGAGGCTTCAAAGGTTGGTACTGATTTCTGTGGTTTCTAACATTTAAGAACCTATAAGCACAAAGAATAGTGTAAGAAATTTTCTAAAGAAGATGCAAAGTAATAGGTGAAAAACTCTGAATTCATATCCAACACCACAGTTAGAAGCTGAATTTCAAACCAGAAAACAAAAGATTCTAACTTCATACTAATCTAAAAAGGGTAGGGGAAGTTTCATTAAAGAATAAGGTTCTATTCAAAAGGTAAAGTGTAGTCAGGTGCCATGCATGCCTATAATCCCAGTGATTCAGGAGGCTGAGACAAGTTCAAGGCAGCTAAGCAATTTAGTGAGACCCTGTCTCAAAATAAAAAAATAAAAAGGGTTGGGGATGTAGCTCAGTAGTAAAGTGACCCTGGGTTCCATACCTTCATCTCCCCCAAAAAAGGAAAATGTAAAGAATAATTGGATAATTTTTGTTTTCAGATAATACTAGAGTAGAACTGGTATCATATCCAATAACATGCCACCAATTCATGAATTCTCAGTCCTACCCAACAATCCTAACAGAGCAGTATGCACACAGAGAAATTTGATGTCCTTTTAATGCAAGATCTATGTATTGCAAATAAGAAGAGATCAAAGGATCAGAATATCAGCAAGAGTTATTTACATTATTTTCTGGATAGACTTTGTTCAAACTTGTAGAATGTAATACTAATGGTCTGTATACCTACTCCTTCTCATAAGAGAAAGCACAGATGGAGTGACAGAAGCTCACTTTATTTTTAAACAAAATTAAGCAGTACCCAGCACCATTCCCACCCACAGAAACACAAAACTACCTACCCATCTGCATCCAACAGTTGGCTCTGAGTGTCATCTTCTAAACAGAACTGGAAGTCTCCTTCTCCTAGGAAAAGTGTCTTAGGTTCTGGGGAGGCGTTATACAGATCCTGGGAATCCTCTATGGGAAGTGAAGGCTCAGACAGTTTCCCTGAACTCTGGCACCAAAACAAAAACAAACATTAACAAAACATTTCAGAAATGTCATTCAGTGTCATGACAACAACAGAAGTTGCTATTTGCAATATTTCATATATTCTCAGGCAATTGTAGTTGAGAAGGACAATGCATAGCAAAAAGAGGCCTAAAGAAAAATATCTCCAATAAAGTAAGAAGCTTGTATTTCATCCACAAAGGGGGTGGATTTTTAAAGCTGAACACACATAAGCTCAGTACCAAGAAGGTGGGAGTTGGTTGGCTGGGACACACTTTATTTAGAAATGTGGGAAGCAAAAGGAGGAGAAAATTAGAAAAACTATTACCACCTTACCTTAGAAGCTGAGCTGACCAAACTGGCTCGAAATAGCCCAGGGGAAGGAGATCTGAATCCCCCTGCTATAGGGAGAAAACTGGTCCCTCGACCTGTTTGTCTGTTGCAAGGCTGATAGGATGGAATTGTAGAGCCAATCAGCTCAAAGCTGCTATTGTGGCTGCTCTCTTTTGTTAACAATGAACATGAATCATCTTCATCTAAAGAAAGAGAAATATCTTTTAAGTGCAAGAATACAGAAATAAGGGAGGACTGTTTAGGAAAAAGACGAAACAGGTAAAATTCATAGGCAAACCCCTCTAGTCACAGGTTCCAAATCATTAAGTTAAATTACAATACTATGATACATTATATAGTCATATTTATTACTGTGAGCTAAGTGACACCTAAAATTTCTCTTCTCACCCTGCCTTAATGCCTATAATCGTTCCTCATTTTCTAATTAAACACCTTCCTTTGACCTACATATAGAAATAATTCGTGTTTCACTCAATCAACATGCATTCACTAGGGGCCTATTAAATGTCCATGGTGCACTATGAAGAAAATTTATGTAAGTTTTTCAAAAATGGGACCAAGAAAATTATTCTAATTTATAAACTCATTGCCACAGGTTAGACTGGAAAGTCTCTAGATTAAAAAAAAGGGAAACTTTGGCCAGGCAAGGTGGCAAACACCTATAATCCCAGAGGATAAAACAGAAGATTACAAGTTCAAAGCCAGCCTCAGCAAAAAGTGAGGCTGCTAAGCAACTCCATGAGATCCTGTCTCTAAATAAAATACAAAAATAGGGCTAGGGATGTGGCTCAGTGGTTGAATACCCCTGAGTTCAATCCTTGGTACCAAAGATTAAAAAAAAAAGGAACCTTTATGGGACTGTAGTAATTAATTATCAAAGTTGGAGGACAAAAGCAAAGTTAAGTTCTGTGTAAGAATCACTTACCCAGTTTACTGGGCTGTTTTCCTGAGTTTTCATCTGTTTCTGACTTTTCTTCAGTAGGAAAATAACTATAAAATAAGAAGGTAAACTGTTTGTATCTGTTCCTATTTCTTACTAAAGGGGAAAATTCAAGGAATTTTATATTTCCTTAGGGTTACTTACCCCATCTTGGAAGAGTTGTCCTTAAATAGAAGTAAGGTAGAATCTGATGAGAGAGGCTTGGGAACAGAAAGAAGATCGACGGACTTGCCAATTTCACTACCGCCATCAATATTATCTTTGTCCATTTCTTTCTCATCTTTGAGTTCTAGATCTTCACTACCAAGAAGGAATTCTGCGTTCTTTACCAATCATGCCACCCCAAAACAGAATAATACAAGTTAAAAACTTTAAAAGCAAATCTCACTGTTAATTTGAAATAAAGCTGCTTGGTTACAAGTCACATCTTAAATCTGTAAAGCTAAACTTGACCATTATCATCAACATAATTTCCCCTTAACACTTTTAGAGCTCTTTTATATCTATTTTACCTTTTTACCCTCCCCAAATTGTTATAAGATTATGAAAGAAGTCTTGATTATCATTTTCCTGAGGTAATAAGAGGTTAAATGATTAGACTACAATTGCAGGATGACTACTGACCTCAAACCAAACACAGACTGTGTGTGATATGCTGCCCAGCTTAGCATTGCTTTCTTTTTCTTTGACCCAGGGTTAAATATTAATGAACAGTTCAAGAAACCCCAGTACCCAGTATAAAAACAAGAAAGCTTTTTCATACCTAACAATCATATAATCACCTATTCTTCCTGGGCAGAAAACAATACTATAGAACAAGGACAAAAAGTCCTTCTAGGGGCTGGGGATGTGGCTCAAGTGGTAACGCGCTTGCCTGGTATGCACGGGGCACTGGGTTCGATCCTCAGCACCAAATAAAATAAAATAAAGATGTTGTGTCCACCGAAAAACTGAAAAATAAATATTAAAAAATTCTCTCTCTCTTAAAAAAAAAAGAAAGCCCTTCTATAAATACTTTCTTCACAAAAGAATGATATTAATTTAGAAGGCCTCTGCTTGCCTGATAATTTATTCCATCTCAACTAAGATTAAGATGGCTTTTGAGTTTAGATAGAGAAAAACAAATAAACAAGTTAAAATTAATATTAATATAAAGTCATTTTCAATATTAGCATTATTATAGTTATTTTGGGGGGTACCAGGGATTGAACTCAGGGGCACTCAACCTCTGATCCATATCCCCAGCCCTATTTTGTATTTTATTTAGAGACAGGGTCTCACTGAGTTGCTTAGCGCCTCACTTTTGCTGAGGCTGGCTTTGAACTCTCACTCCTCTTATCTCAGCCTCTTGAGCAGCTAGAATTACCAGCATGCACCACCATACCCAGTAGAAGCCAAGGATTCAGCTCTGTGAATTACAGGTGTTCAGTGATGCTGACAGAACTAAAGGTACTAAGATTTAGGTATACATAAGTTACCATCTCCGTATGGCTAAAATTCCTTATACAATTTTAAATGCTTATTATACTTTTTTTAATATCAGATTTTCTTTCTCTTATTCATTATGATCAAGTTACTAAATTACATAAGGGCCAGAAACCTCCTGATTGCCTTCTTCCTTCTCCTCCTCCAGTTCCTCTGCTTCTTTCTCTTCCTCTTCCTCTTCCTCCAGTCCCTCCACTTCTTTCTCTTCCTCCAATTCCTCAGCTTCTTTCTCTTCATCTTCCTCCTCTTCTCCATCTTCCTCAGACTCATCCGTCATTTCTTCCTCCTCCTCCTCCTCTTCCTCAAACCCATCTTCGTTATCTAATTTAAACAATGCTTGGCGCTTTTGGCGCTCCTCAAATCTTCGGAGTTTCATTGCCTCTTGCAGTTTAGCTTTTAGCACCTGCAACTTTTCACCTGAACAGAAATACGTTGAAATGCTTTACACATAACGATCAACTATATAAACCAATAATTAAGTAGGCATTTTAGGTAACTCTAGAAGTGTTCTAGTCATGTCCCAAAAGGAAAACCAAGGACCTTAGTATCCATCAGGCATGGTGGCACATACCTATAATTCAGGTGACCTGGGAGGCTGAGGCAGGAGGATCTCAAGTTCCAGGCCTGCCTCAACAACTGAGTGAGACTCTGACTTAAAATAAAACATAAAAAAATAAAGGGCTGGGGATTAAGCTCAGTGATAAAGTCCCTGTGTTCAATCCCTAGTACTGTCACACATAACACGAAAAGACCTTAGTATCCTAGGTTTTTGTTATTCTAACACATAGAAATTATTATAATTCGAAGTGTCAAAGAAAATTTCTACACCCAGGGATTATAAAGTAATCATTTAAAAGAGGGTAAAAGGAGGGAATGGGGCTTTAAGAGTCTCTGGCTCAGCAGCCATGATGGTCAACATTGATAAACTTACCTACAGAAAAAGAAACAAGAGTAAAATCAACAAAAGATATGGACTGGTAGTCCACAGAAAAATAAACATTAATAAAAATGTGAAAATAATGCTTAATTAATGTCTAATTAAAAACAAATAAAAATAAGATAATTTTTGACATTTGACAAAATTTAAAAAAATTTATAATACCCATTATTAGCAAGGGGAGGGCTTGGGTTGTAGCTCAGTGGTAGAGCACTTGCCTAACACATGTGAAGCACCACATAAAAATAAATAAATAAAATAGGTACCGTGTCCATCTACAACTAAAAAAAATATTTAAAAAAAACAAGGGAAGTGGCTGGAGTTGTGGCTCAGCAGTAGAGTACTTGCCTAGCACATGTGAGGCCCTGGGTTCGATCCTCAGCACCACATAAAAATTAAAAAATAAAATAAATGTATTGTGCCCATCTACAACTAAAAAATAAATATTAAAAAAAAAAACAAGGGAAAACAAATTCTTACTATGATTAAAGTGTAAATTAGTGCAACCATTTTAAAGGACAATTAAGTGACACATATTAAATTCTGACTCGAATTCCACTGTAAGGATTTCTGCATCCTCAGATGACTCTGAGGAAGATGGAGAAGAGGTGGAAGTTTCTGGCCATTATGTAATTGTGTGTGTGTGTGTGTGAGAGAGAGAGAGAGAGTATATATATACATACATACATATATATGGTACTAAGAGACAACATTGGATGCAATGACCAAAAACTGGAACAATCATGATGTATATCACTAGGACCACGGTTAAACAAACCATATTGTATCCATTCAATGGAATATTAAGTTGTGTTAAAAAAGCATGAAAAGAAATATAATGTGAGCCAGGCACGAGGGCACATGCCCGTGATCCCAGCGGCTCCTGAAGCTGAGGCAGGAGGATCAAGAGTTTAAAGCCATCCTCAGCAATAGTGAGGCACTAAGTAAGTAACTCAGTGAGACCCTGTCTCTAAATAAAATACAAAATAGGGCTAGAGATGTGGCTCAGTGTTCAAGTGCCCCTGAATTCAATCCCCAGTACCCTTCCCCACCAAACAATTGAAATACAATGGGAATTTGAGCCTGGAGTAGATTAGGTTACAGGTTCTACCACTTAGTAACAATGTAAACTTGAGCAAGTGTTTTGAGTGCTCTGCATATCAATTTCCCTATGCATAAAACAAGGATATTATTATTTATTTCACAGGTTGTGAGGATTAAACAAGATAAAGTATGTAAAGCAGCTAGAACAGTGTCGGTAGAGAATGAATATCCAATGACACATACAAACGCACAAAGTGGATTATTCATAAAATTTTTCTTATAAGAATACATGAATTATTAACAGTCACCTTTGGGGAGAATAATTTTTCATATAATACCTTTTTCCTAGTGTTTTAAATTAAATTATTTCCATGTGATATATTACTTGTGTTTTCAAGGTGGAGGTAGGAATAATAGACCTGTTTCCAATACATTGTTAGAACAAAAAAGTAGATTATAAAGCAGAATGCATGGGATGATCACACTATTATTTTAGTTCATTTGTTTGTTTCCTTTTTATTTATTTACTTTTTTCCCAGTGCTGGGAATCAAACCTTTAGCCTTGTACCTGCTAGGCAAGCATTCTACCACTGAGTTACATCTCCAGCCTACTATTGGTGTTCCTGTTTTCTTTTTTCTTGGTGGGGCTGGGAATTGTTTGTTTTCAACACACACATATATGAAAAGAAATGAGTTTAATGGACAGATAAACAATATAGTTATAGAATTTGTATCTGATAGAAGATTACTTTTCTTGTTTATCCTTTCTATGTATTTATTTTTTAAATAAATTACAAATCTTTTTTATTTTTATTTTTTTAGTTGCACATGGACAAAATACATTATCTATCTATCTATCTATCTACTATCTGTCTATCTATCTATTTAGTTATTTATATGTCGTGCTGAGGATCATACCCAGTGCCTTACACATGCAAGGCAAGCAATCTACCACTGAGCTACAGCCCTAGCCCCCTCTATGTTTTTATTTTTGTATAGTGAATATTTCTTTCCTTCTTTCTTTTTTCTTTTTTAAATATTGGTATTGAACCAAAGGTACTCTACCACTAAGGTACATCCCAGCCCTTTTTATTTTTATTTTGAGACAGGATCTCATTAAATTGTTGAGACTGGCCTTAAACTTGCAATCCTCTGCTTCACTCTCCTGAGTAGCTGGGATTACAGGTGTGTGCTAACATGCTCAGCAATAAGCTTTTGACAAATGCTAGTTTAAGAAATAAAGTCATTTTCTCACCCCACACTTCTAGATGTGCTGTATATGAATCCTGCTGAGATATTGCTATCCAATCTCCAAAGTCTCCAAGGAAAAAGATTCTATAACCTTTCATTATAGGATCTTCAATAGCTATGAAAACTCAAAATACCTGGTTTTGTGTGGCTTGCTCCATCCAGTTTCTCAGCTGCCAAAGTCACAGGTACCACATCTGCCTTTAGCTCTTCCCTTCCATCAGTACTCAAGTCTTTCACTATGATGTTCACTTTCACTGTTTGGCCAGCCCTGGGCTTGGTTGTTGGATTAACATGCTTCCAGAAACGCTGCTTTAAGGCTTCCAGTTCTAAACCCAAATGCAAATAAGTCGGTCAGTTTGCCATGTTCAAGCTCTTTCCTTCAAGATTCCTATTAAGAATTATAAGTAAGTCTTTTGCTCTACAGTGTTAAAGAAAAAAATCATACACACAAAGAGAAACCCCTTTGTTGCTAACACCTGCATCAAATTCATACAACTTAACATTCTTCCTCAATATTTCAAAATTGAGATTTTTAAGATAGAAATTTACAACTGCTTACAATTTCTAAATATATAGCAATTCTTCTTATAAGTATTAAGCTGATAGAAAGAAATATCTAATTCTTAACTTTCCATCTTTTTTCTTTCTTTTATTCTTTTCTCTCTCTCTTTTTTTTTTTTTTTCCCCCATACTGGGGATTGAACCTAGAGGTACTCTATTACTGAGCTATATCCATAGCCCCTCATTTATTTATTTATTTATTAAATTTGAGACAAGGTCTCACTAAGTTACTAAAGGTCTTAACCCAGGGGCAGGCACTTGCTAAATTGCTGAGGTTGGCCTTGAACTTGCAATCCTCCTGCCTCAGCCTCCCAAGTCACTGGGATCACAGGTGTGTACCACTGTGCCCAATTTCATCTTATTTCTTCAATTCCCTACTTTGAACATTTCACTATTGGCAATCTGACTACATATGGGCAATGTCAAAAAAAAGGCAGGGGGAGAAAATGACAATCTAGTCAGTGATATAACTCAGTAGCGGGCTAGGAAAAAAAGGGGTTTTCTTGGTTAAACTAGTACACACAAGTGGCACAATCAGAAAGTAAGTAATGGACTGCTATAACTATTCCACTTACTGGTGGCCTCTGTATCACACACCCAACTGATATATAAATGGGTGCAGCAAGCTCAGTGCTCTAGCACAATAGAGCCTTTATTCTCTTCCTTGTTGCTATTCTTACAATTTTCTTCTCCTTTTTCCCTCAGCCAACCGCTGCTACCTAGGCACCATTCCTATACCCACTCTGCTGAACACTTTATACCACTGTGGAATTTGGGGTCTGTACTGAGAGCGCTAGCTGGTAAGATCTGGCAGTTATAAAGATATCATAAAGGAAAAAAAAAAGCTCCTTTTGGGGATGACGGACATTGGACATTTTCATGTGGGTTTCTCTCTTTCATGGTAATGACTTAAGACTTCAAAGTTTGGTTAATTATTATTAAATATTTTTGGTGGGAGGTGATATTGGGAACAGAATCCAGGACCTCACACATGCTAGCCAAGTACTCTGCAGTAAGCTTCATCTCCAGTCCTTTTTACTTTAAGGCAGGGTCTCAGTAGGCTGACAACTTCAAGAATTTAAAATCTTCCTGCCTCAGTCTCAGTCTACTAAGTAACTGCAATTACAGGCATGGATCATTGCACATGGCTGGTTAAAATTTTAAAATGTACTCAAATCACTTTAGTAGTTTAGTGATTGGTATCTATATTTTTATCCTGAGTCCCTAACATTATTAGCAGCAAAACCTAACTCCAAAGAATGGTATGTTTACATTACAAACAAAAGAAAAGGGAGAGAAGTAGTAAGTCTGTCTCCTGTTTTGAAGTGATCAGTAAAGTTGGAACCAACAGGTGGCCGCAGTGGAAAGGGAGCAGAAAATAGGCAGATCATTACTGATGCCAATAGAACAAAAGAAATGGGTGAGCAGGAAGATTACTCAGGACCTAAAATAATGAGGCAGAAGTTATTTTCATTTATAACTAGAGAAAGTGAACAGCCTCAAGGCTTTTCATCTCTCAATCCACTACAGCAACTGCTTCCTTTACCCTTTATTTTAAGACTTAATCACCTTCCTCATCCTAAAAGCCAGGTTCAAACCCCTCTCCCTCCATCAATTTTTTCCTAGAACCTCTCATCTCTTCTTCAAGTGAAATATCTCTGCTCCAGATCAAGACTATACCAGGAACTTGGTCTAGAATTCTTATTTCCATTGTTCTGTCCAGAGAGTAGAGGAATTAGAAACAGAAATTACCCCCTAGGCTATTGTAAGACACATAAGTAATGTTTCACACGCCACAAAGTTTGAACTTACTGCATTTTCCCATGGAAACCTTACTCCATATGAGGAAAGAAATTGTTGATTCTAGGGCTGGGGATGTGGCTCAAGCAGTAATGTGCTCGCCTGGCATGCGCGGGGTGCTGGGTTCGATCCTCAGTACCACATAAAAATAAAATAAGGATATTGTGTCCACCGAAAACTAAAAAATAAATATTAAAAAATTCTCTCTCTCTTAAAAAAAAAAAAAAGAAAAAAGAAATAGTTGATTCTAATGTTTCTGCTCTAAACCCCTTCCAATGTGTCTTCCACACCAGTTACCTGATTGAATTTCCTCAAATGCATATCTGATTGGGTCCTTTCCCATGCTAAAAACTATTCAATGGTCCCCCACTAAGAAAAGGCTAAAAAATCCACACTCCTAGCATGGCCTAAAAGTCCTGCAGGATCTAGGCTCTAGTCACCAATCTCCTTGAAATTGTCATTTTTACCAGCCAGAACTTTCAGTGCTTTCTATTATATCTGTCTATTTCTATTATATCTGTCTTTTGCAATTCTGTCCTCTCCACCAAAAAAGCTATCCCTCTCTGCCTTAGTATCTCCTCAGTTTTCAGGACTTCACTCCTTTCAGAAGCTCCCCTGACTACCTAATCCAAGTATGCTACACTTCTTCTAGGCTTACCTTCACAAAGGCATACCTTTGTCATAATACTTACCATTTAGGATTCCAAGAGTCTGTTTACCTAGTACCTATCACTCCTACTACACTTTAATTTCCTTGAAAGTAGGAACTATGTCTTACTTGCATACACAGTACCCAACATAGTGCTAAATAAGAAAAAGCTTATTGCAACTTATTGCATGAATAAATGAATGATGGTTTTAACTTCATATACAGAATATCATGGAAAAGCCTCAAGTAGAAACCAGTTTTCATGTCAATTTCTTTTTTCTTTTGGTACCACGGATTTAACCCAGGGGCAGGCACTTAACTACTTTACCCCAACCCTAGCCCTTTCTATTTTTTATTTTGAGACAGGGTCTCACTAAGTTGCTTATAGCCTTGCTAAATTTCTGAGGCTGGTCTTGAACTTGTGATCTTCCTGTCTCAGCCTCCTGAGTCGCTGAGATTACAGGGGTTCACCACTATGCCCAGCTCACATCAATTTCAATTTTCTTTCTTTTTGTGGTGCTAGGGATCACACATAAGGCATCGTGCATGCCAGGCAAGAGCACTACTGCTGAGCCACATCCTCAGCCCCCATGTCAATTATTTCTAAAGGAAAACATATTTTGAGTTAAAAATAAGTGTCCAATATGTGGCAGGCATTGTGCTAGGTTCTTAAACAAGCCAAGTATAGTGCTAGAAAAATTATTCAACCTCTTTGAGCCTGCTTCTTCATCTTGCAAAATAATACCTGAGGCTATGAAAATTAAGAAACATAACTAATAAGTCTTCTGTTCCTGGGTATGGTGGCACATGCCTGTAATTCCAACAACTTGGAGGTTGAGGCAAGAAGATCATAAGTTCAAGGGAAGCCTCAGCAACTTAGCGAGACCCTGTCTCAAAATAAAAAATAAAAAATGGTCTGGGGATGTGGCTCAGTGGTTAAGTGTCCCCGAGTTCAATCCCTGGTACAAAAACAAAAACAAAAACCTCTTATTATGGTAGTTAGACATAGCAGTGTGTATCTACAATCTCAGCTACTCAAGAGGTAGAGACAGGAGAATGACAAAGTTCAGGCTGGCCTTGACAACCTAAGGAGACCCTGTCTCAAAATAAAATAAAATATCCCCAGGAGAGCTGGGGATATAGCTTAGCATACAAGGCCTTGGGTTCAATCCCCAGTACCTCACATATAAAAAAAGGTATGAAATAGAGTAGGTACCCCCAAAAAAGTCTTTTCTTTCAGTCCAAAACAGTTTAGGTAACTTTTAATCTCACATAACAAAATTTAGCCGTGTCTCATAAAGTAACAAGAAATTATTGGTCTACTTTTCTTATTCTAGAACTGATAACTTCTAGTCCCATGTTTTTCCATTAATGTTCTGGGAAGCAGCTCACATTCAAGCTTCTAATGAAGTTAAGCTAATTCTGTTACATAACCCCTCCACATCTCCAGCTCCAACCAAACTGACTTTCACCTCCTCCCAATATGCACCATGAGGAACCCTTTCTTTCCTTTCCAAGAATGTCCTTCTCTCTAACTCTACCAAGTCCATCCAACCAACAAAGACTCACTGAGCATATTTTACACAGCAGACATAGTGGCTGACACAGCACCTATCAACAAAAATCTGTTTAATCAAGGAGGGTCTTAGTGTAAATAATTTGAAGCAGTAACCACTATTTGAGTGGTTCTTTATGCTATCCATTTGAATTATGTCAATAAAAATTACTATAGCCCATGAGGCATATACCTCTTATTTCATTTTTTTTTAAAAGATGGATTGGAAAGGTTAAATAAGCATATCTAAGGTTGAACAATTCCTAGTATAAACCATATTCAAACCCTGGTTTTACTATAGTCTAAACCTACAACCACTATGTCATGCTGCCTCAACACAGAGGAGGGAACACCCAACTCAATTTGTGGTAATACCCAAATTCAGTGTGGAAGGGATCATTCATCTGTTCAATAAGTACAAATGCCTACAATGTCTCTTCCACTAAGAAAACACTAGGGATAAAAAAGAGCACAAGGGGGGCTGGGGATGTGGCTCAAGCGGTAGCGCGCTCTCCTGGCATGCGTGCGGCCCGGGTTCGATCCTCAGCACCACATACAAAACAAAGATGTTGTGTCCGCCGAAAACTAAAAAATAAATATTAAAAATTCTCTCTCTCTCCCCCCCTCCCTCTCTCACTCTATCTTAAAAAAAAAAAAAAAAAAAGAGCACAAGGCAGGAGATTTCCAACTCATAGTATAAAGGGAAGGCAGGGAAAAAGTAGTTACATCTGCCTACTCCCCAAGCCTTCCTTTAACCACCCTTGGAAGAAACTCATCCCTCCTCTGAATTTCCATAGCATTTTATTCTAAATGTTTATTTCAGAAAAGAATACTTTTCCCTTTTCTTTGTGTTATTTAATTTTTTTCCAATTATTGATGATAGCTCTATATATCCAGAGGTTCTTTCTGGATCTGCAGATTCAACCAAGCTCTGCTCGAAAAAACTTGAAAATTGCATCTGTACTAACCATGTATAAACTTTTTCTTGTTCTTATTCCCTAAACAATACAACTATTTACAGAGCATTTATATATTATCACAAATAATCTAGAGATGATTTAAAGTACTTGGGAACCATGTCATAGGTTAGATGCAAATATGTAATTTTATTTACAAGACTCGAGCATTGGCAGATTTGGATATCCTTGGTTGGGGATGGGAAAAATCAATTCCCTTCCAATACCAAGGGACAACTTACAGGTTCATTATGAAAGATGTCACAACTTTCTCCCTTGTATTACTGTTTTTTTGAGTACTTCTTATCTCTGATGCTAGACTATGTATGCATCTCAAGTGTAAGATAAGTGTCGGGGTAAATTGCTTTGCTCAACAGCATCTTGCAGGTAGTAGATATTTGTTGAATGAGTAGAAAAAAAAATTCAGTTTGACAGACAATTTAAGTGAACCAAAATGTTTCTCTTTCATTGTAAAAAACTGAAAAATGTTTTTATGAATGACTTAAGAATAAGGAAAAGAGGTTCTTAATTCAGAAATGCCAGGGCATTTCCCTGGCCAGTGAGCCTGGGTTTACATTTGAAGGATATAGGATCATAGAAAAATTTAGGCATTCAGATTGCAAAGGCTATAAAAAATTCTTAAATTCCAAAACACAGACTTCCATTTTAAAGGTTTAAAACATTCTGATATTCCACTGAATTTATCTAAGTGGAATTCTCTCCCTATCTTTTACCTCTGTAGAATAAGATCATGTGTAATTATTGGCTTTTCCTTCATTCCCTGTCCTCCACAGAGGCAAAAAATAGAAAGCTGCCAAGGTAAGTGTCACTTCAAGGCAACTCCCCACAATTTAAAACATTACCTCTGTTGGTTCCAGGTTCATCAAGTATCACAAAGGAATCTTCATCAGCACCCAGCCGTGGTTTAATGGAAACATCTACTCCTAATTGCTTAAGTCTATCCAGAGTGAATTTTCGAACTTTTTCAGGTGGCACAACTGCCGATTTAGTTTGCTGCATGGGTTCTTCCACTTTCTCTTCTATTTCTTCAGTCTGTTTCAGGTCATCTACTCCCTCCAGGGCATGAGATTCAGATGCCACTAGCCCTCCAATCTGATACTCCTCACTGGCCTTGTTCCTAAGGAGGCTGCTTTCCTCCTGTGACACTGAGCTGTCCCCAGGTGAAGATCTAGCATCACTCTGCTTCTTTTTCTCCAGAACTGCTACTTCTTCACTTCTTATCAGATCTTTACTGCAAGCTTCATCTGACCGAGTAGTGATTTCAGGTTCTTTTGAAACCACAGTAAATGCATTAATTTCTCTTTCATATTCTGCACCAGTTGTGTGCTCAGAATCTTTGCTATGGTGGTCACCATTCATTTCAGTTATATTTGTAGTGTCTATAATTTCTTTGTGATGGCTTGGCTGATACTTTGATGACCTAGAGAAGGGAAAAAGAGCTGGAATTTAAAATTACCTTAAAACATTCCCATCCCTTAGAATATAATAAGTTAAATCAGCTTAAAGAGAGTGGGGAATCCGAACTTTTTACACCAGATATTTGCCACAAAACTGAGTGTTCATGAAGAATATAATCAACAAGAAAAGAGGGCTCTTACTTCAGAAGTGCCATGGCATTTCCCTGGCAGGTGGGCCTGGGTTTACGTTTGAAGAAATCATGAATAGTTTTATTCTCAGGCATATGATACGGAAGATTAAGTGCAGATTCTAGAAAATGGAACAGAACAAGCAAATATATACACTGTATATTCTGAAATGTAACTTCATATTCAGTTAACAAAACACTAGAACCAAATCTATCACCAGAAATAGAAAAAAAAATCCTGCCTCTAACATAGGCAGGAGCTGACTACAAAAGAGCTCCTTGAAGACCAGTGGCTTTTAAGTTTAACTATAATCAAAACAATCCTGGAAGTTTTTAAGAAATACAGATTCTTAGCTCCGATAACTTATTGAATCAGAATCTTTGTGGGGCCTAAAATTTTATATATTTGAAAATCTTCTAAGCTGAGTGCAGGGCATAGTCCCAGCCCCTCAGGAGGACATCTGGGGTATTGCTTGAGCCCAGAAGCTTAAGTAACAACAAGTCCTTGTATTAAAAAACAAAACAAAAAATCCTGCTACAGGGATCCAGATGTAATCAATGCATAGACAACCATTAAAAAGTTTTTTCCTGGTATTGTCTCAGCCTTTTGTTGCAAGTCATTATTCAAAGAAATTTTCAGAACATAGAATATATAGGCAGCAGCCAAAACTGCCAAGTTCTAACTGGTCCCCATAGAAAACAGTGACCCAGTCATTTGTTAATCAAGATCCATTTATTACAATGAAGGCCAGGCTGTCTTTAAAGCACTCCAAGGGAAGTGGAGGACAGGTCCAAGCAGGGCTTTCCTTTTTGTTGTGTCATTATCTTTGATCACTATTGCAACCAGACAGCCATTGGGCCTCAAAATATAGGGATAAGACTGAAACTGTAAATACTCTGTAAACACAAGCATTTGTACTTGAAAGAACAGGATTTTAAAGAGCATTGATGTTCAACCAGATAAAAGGCATAACAAAGTGACTTTTTTTAAAAAAAGATACTTTTAAAAAAAATTTTATTCACTTTTATGTGGTACTGAGGATCAAACCTAGTGCCTCGCACATGCTAAGCAAGTGCTCTACTACTGAGCCACAACCTCAGCCCCCAAAGTGACCTTTTTATATTAAAAAGTTTCTTCCTTACCTCCATTATAATTTTAGAAGTTTTCTCAGTTTACATTAATGTTCTAAAGGCTTTAGAACGATGGCTACTCATGAAGATCAATTCTAAACTTGATATAATTATCTGAGTTCATATTATATTAGGAGTGGGGAAAAGAAAACAAACAAAAAAAACAACAACCCTGACATCCAGTTGAACTTACAAAAAAATTGTAATTTTTCCTTAAACTTCACCCTAGTAGTTTGCATTACCTCGAATAAGGCGCTGAGTCTCACTATGCAGTTTTTTTAATGCTTCCTTACTTAACTTGGCTGCCTTTCTTTCCTTAAAGAAAACAAAAAGTAAGACTATATTAATGGTGTTGTCCAGAAAGACAGCTATTCATTCCTCTAGAGTTTGTTCTCTCCAAGAAAAAAGGAGAAGGAACAGTAAGCACTAATAATACAATATAAACTCAAGGAGCACATTTATTTACAAGTCTCAGAATATTAATTCAATCCAATCCATATTTGTGTTCCTACTATGTACATAGCAATATGCTGAATATCAGGAAAATAAGACAGACAAGATAAAATATTTATCTTTGAGAAACCCACAATCTCCTGTGGAAAGAGATCAATGTAATTTCTACACAGGACTCTACTTTACCTTCTTCATGATGCCTTTTGATAACTCACTCTCTTCTTGTTGCAAGTCTAAAGATGCTTCCTTTTTCTGAAAAAGATTTTAAAATTCATTTAAAAGATTTTAACTTCATTTTTAAATGTGAGAATAAAAACTAAACCCAAGCTGGGCATGGTGACACACACCTGTAATCCCAGCAGCTCATGAGGCTGAGGCAGGAGAATCATAAGTTCAAAGGCAGCCTTAGCAAATTAGTGAGCCCTAAGCAAGCTAGAGAGGCCCTATCTCAAAATAAAAAAATAAAAAGGGCTGGGATTGTGGTTCAGGGTTTAAGTGTCCATGAGTTCAATCTCTAGTACCCCTTGCAAAAAAAAAACCTCAGAGGATGTTTTTACTACATTATGCTACATTAATAATAAATCTCAAATAGAAAATTTTATTTTTATTCTCTATCAAATAGAAAATTTTAAACATACAGCATCCAATTATGCTTAGAAAACAAGGGGCTGGGGATGTGGCTCAAGCGGTAACGCGCTCGCCTGGCAGGCGTGGGGCGCTGGGTTCGATCCTCAGCACCACATAAAATAAAAATGTTGTGTCCACCGAAAACTAAAAATAATAAATATTAAGAATCTCTCTCTCTCTCTCTCTCTCTCTTTAAAAAAAAAAAGAAAACAAATTACGTCTCCTTCCCCCAGTACTGGGGATTGAACCCAGGGACACTGTACCACTGAGCTATATTCCAAGCCCCTTTCATTTTTTATTTTAAGACAGACTCTTGCTAAATTGCCCACGCTAGCCTTGAACTTGCAATCCTCCTGCCTCAGCCTCTGGAGTAGCTGGGATTACATACATATAACACTATACAGAGCACAAATTAGATATTTCAAATGGAATTTGGATCCTCATTTCTTATACCATTGCTTACATAATTCTCTCAAGAGGGGCAATGATTTATAGAGAGCTAATAAAATCCTACGAAGAGCAGTTATGCTTTGTGTATATGATACTGGGGATCAAAGAACCCAGGACTCCATGCAAACTTGGCAAGTATCTACCACTGAGCTACATCCCCATGCCTTCCTTCAACATTCCTACAAGGGTAATAACCAAACAATTTAGCACATAATTTGTACTGCAGTTTTCCAAAATTAACAGCTAAAAAACTGAAACCCATCAACACGTGATTTTCTTCATTTAAAAAAAAAAGTAAAGCTGAGCATGGTTGTATATACCTATAATCCCAGCAACTCAGGAGGCTGAGGAGGATCGAAGGTTCAAAGCCAGCCTCAGCAACTTAGTGAGGCCCTAAGCAATTTAACAAGACCCTGCTCAAAATAAAAAATAAAAAGGGATGGGGATGTGACTAAGTAGTAAAGTGCCCCTGGGTTCAATCTCCAGAAAAGAAAGAAAGAAAGAGAGAAAGTAAATTGCAACTGGAAATCAAAAAAATAAAGTAGGGCTGGGGATGTGGCTCAAGCGGTAGCGCGCTGGCCTGGCATGCGCGGGGCGCTGGGTTCGATTCTCAGCACCACATAAAAATAAATAAAGATGTTGTGTCCACTGAAAACTAAAATATATATATTAAAAAATTCTCAAAAAAAAAAAAAAAGTAAATGTTAGAAGTAGTTGGTTAGAACTTACTGTAACCATGTTTTACTTGCCTTGTGATTTTTCACTTTGTTTTTCACAGCTGCCCTTATTGATTCTAATGACTCTTCATCTTCCAGTGGAGAGTTATTTTCCTCCTCCAAACCCGTTTCAAAAAGGTCTTTATCGGCAAGAAGACAGCCACTGTCATTAAATGAATGTTCTATATCATTTTCCTGGGTAATGCATAAAGAAAAAACATAATTCAATCATTTTAAAATCCAACATTTCACAACATATATGGTAATTTGGATCAAGCAGAAAAAGCCCAGCTTTCATCAACAGACAAATACACAGCTTCTAGAACCTTCTTACTGGATCTGAACCCAGATAACCTTTGAAGTCCAAGCTGTGAGTTTTTTATATAATTTCTCAAAATTAACTTAATAAATAAATATTTTTTGAAATGTCAACTAATTACTTATTGACTTATTACAAAACATAAGGATGATTTTTCTAGTTAGCAAACAAACTTTGGTTGAGGGATGCATTAAAAAATCCTCCTGGGCTGGGGTGTAGCTCAGTGGTAGAACACTTGCCTGGCATGTGTGAGGCACTGGGTTCGATCCTCAGCACCACATAAAAATAGATAAATAAAAATAAAGGTATTGTGTCCATCTACAACTAAAAACTATTTTTTAAAAAAATCCTCGTTTCAGCCAGGCATGCTGAGGCAAAAAGATCACAAACTGAAGGCCAGCCTCCATAATGTAGAGGTCTTGTCAAAACAAAAAACAAAAAGGGCCAGGCATGGTGCACACGCTTATAATCCCAATGGCTCAGGAGGCTAAGGCAGGAGGATCCCGAGTTCAAAGCTAGCCTCAGCTATGGCGAGGCACTACAACTCAGTGAGACCCTGTCTCTAAATACAAAAAAAATGGATGGGGATGTGCCTCAGTGGTTAAGCAGCCCTGGATTCACTCCCCAGTACAACAGAAAAAAAAAAAAAAGGTAGGGTATGGTAGTACACACCTAGAATCCCAGCAACTCAGGGAGCTGAGGCAGGAAGATCCCCATTTCAAAGCCAGTCCAGGCAATTTAGCAAGAGATTGTCTCAAAATAAAAGGATTGGGGGCTATAACTCAGTGTAGGAGCACCCACTGGTACAATTCCCAGTACTGGGGGTATGAGGGATGAATTACTTCAGGTCCTCACAAAGAAAATCAGAAACTTGTTTATTTGTAAGCATCCTCTACATATCCACAATAGTAAGTAAAACGTGTATCCTGCTGGCCATGGTGGCACATACCTATAATCCCAGCAGCTTAGGAGGATTAGGCAGTAGAATCACAAGTTCAAAGCCAAACTTCGAATTTAGTGAGACTCTGTCTCAAATAAAAAATAAAAGGCCTGGGAAAACTGAGGTCATAGCTCAGAGGTAAAGAACTTGCCTAGCATGTGTGAGGCACTGGGTTCAATTCTTATCACTACATATAAATAAAATAAAATAAAGGTCCACTGACAACTAAAAAAATATATTAAAAAAGAAGGGGGAGAAGGGGATTTAACTCAGTGGTTAAGTATCCCTGGGTTCAATCCCTGGTACCAATATATAAATAAATGAATAAATAAAACACATATCCTATTAGTCTCTATGCAAAGCAGTCGATTCAAAGCTATATGCTGAGTGCAGAAACTACCCTAATAACTGAAAGCCATTTTTTCTAAAACATTATTCTATGTGAGAAAAAGCAAATGACTCTCTAATGTATATCTTAGGCTAGTGATAGAGCACTTGCCTAGAATGTGTGAGGTAGCCTTGGGTTTAATCCCCACCACAACAAAAGGAAAAAAGTATCTCAATGAATAGATAAGAAAATGGTAGCTGGGTGAAATGGTACATGCCTGTAATACCAGCTACTCAGGAGGCTGAGGCAGGAGGATCACAAATTCAAGACCAGACTGGGCAACTTAGTGAGACCCTATTTCAAAACGAAATAAAAAGTGTTGTGGGTATATTTCAGTCATGGGGTACTTGCCTAGTATGATGAGGCCCTGGGTTCAATCCTCAGTACCCAACATACATACAATATACATATATATGGCATATATCCACAACGGCATTATTTAACCATAAAAAAGATAAAATTCTGTCATTTGCACCAACTTAGAATAGTGTTACCCAGCACCTGGGAAGGGTGTGGGAGATCAGTGAAGATAGGACATTTATGGGTGACTATTAATTGAATATTTCAAAATAAATTATGGAGAGGATTTTTAATGTTCCTAACACAAAGAAATGCTACATATTGAAGATGATATGCTGGCCATGGTGGCACATGCCTGTAATCCCAGCAGCTTGGGAGGATGAGGCAGTAGGATCACAAGTTCAAAGCCAGACTTCACAATTTAGTGAGACTGTCTCAAATAAAAAATAAAAGGGCCTGGGGGGACTGGGGTCATAGCTCAGAGGTAGAACACTTGCTCTGATCATTATACACTGTAAACATGTATGAAAATACCACATGGTATTCCACAATTATGTCCAATTACTATGTGTCAATTAAAAACAAAAATGTCTTAAAAATAACCTTGAAAAGACTACATCAGAGTTTTAAAATAAAATAATATACCTTATTTTTTATTTCCTTTCTTTTTAGCCGTCTAATTTTTTCCATCTTTCTCTCCTCTTTCTCAAGTCTTCTCTTTGATTTTATTTTTGTTTTTCCTTCTGTTACTTCTTTATCACATATGGGCTTTTTGGAAATCTTTCTACCGATGGTAAGTTCTACAGAGTTTCCAGATTGGAGACTCAGTTCTAAGCAAGATGTCACCTGGGTTTCAAGAGTTTCCTGATACGAAGACTCCTCCATATCACTTTCATCACTGTCTGCCACAGTTTTGTAAACCCTTTTAATTTTTCCACTTTTTCCAGCATATAAATTCTCTTTATTTTCCTCAGCACTGTCATAGGTAGTTTTTTCTGGAGAGACATTTGTGTATTCTGTTTCAGAATCACTGTCTTGTAGCACCTTCTTGCTTTTCAGTTTCTTACTCACAAATATTTCTTCATCTGAATCTGAAAGAAAAACAATATTTTTAAAGGTATACAACCAGCTAGGGTTGGTGGTACATGTCTATAACACCAGCAACAAGGGAAGACTGAGGTAGGAGGATCTCGTTCAAGGTCAGCCTTAGCAATTTAACAAGACCCTACCTCAAAATAAAAAATTAAAAAAAAAAAAAAAAATTTCTTTAAAAAGGTCTAGGGATGTAGCTCAGTGGTACAGTGTCCATGGGTACGATTCCAAGTGCTGAAAAAAGAAAAGTATACAAGTAATTGACCTTCCTCTTAGTCCCACTACACTCAAAAATATATTCAATTATACAAGTGATATATCTCCTTGTGAAATTATATAACTATCATTAAGAACATATTGTAGCAAAGCATATCTAAAAATATATTTTGAAAAACATTTTCTAAAGAGAAATGCCTCTGGCTGAAAAATGTAATTATATATATTTACAATGTGTAAAATTGTTCTAATCCTTCTGGTACTTGTTAAAAATACTTTTATTAAAGGATAAATGCATTTAACCAGGCAGTGTGATAGCTACTGGATATTTTACAAATTCAGCAATATAACAAAAAGGAATATTTTCAAAAAGACATAAGCACTATTATTTATTATTTTGCTTTTATAATAAACAACAGACATGGTAATAATTGACTTATTAATTATTAATAACTGATTTATTAATAACTTAATAAGTAATATTCAATAAGTCAAGACAATAACGAAGTTAATATAATCCATTATAACCCAGGCTCCCACACTCTATTCCTAAAATTAAAGTACTAAATATTACAAACCTTTTTCACTCAAGGACCTAGTTGTTTCACAGCTGCCTTGTCCACTGTCAGAAGGACTGTCTGCTTCTTGTGAAATGAGTTTTAGATCATTAATTTCTAAATGAACCTAAAAAATGAAAACAAGCTTTGCATTAACTAGGAGGTGACTGAAAGGTCCAAGTACATACCAAGAGCTGGGCACAATGGCGTGTGCCTGTAGTTCTAGCTATTCAGGAGGCTGAGGTAGGAAGGAAGGTCCCATGGATTCAAGGAGTTCAAGACCAGCCTAAGCAACACAGCAAGACCCCATCTCAAAACACACCCACACACCCACCCACCCATACACACACACACACACACACACACACACAGAGAACATACTGATAAATACATCAACACAGGATCGTCACATTGAAATAAGGAAAGAACCAATACAATCATTTGATTAAGACAAAAACCAAAATTCATTATACACCTTTAAAATTACTGGATAAATTAGGTGCCGTGGTGCATGCCTATAATCCCAGCAGCTTGGGAGGCTGAAACAAGAGGATTGAGAGTTCAAAGCCAGCCTCAGCAAAAGCAAGGCACTAAGTGACTCGGTGGGATCCTGTCTCTAAATAAAATACAAAATAGGGCTGGGGTTATGGCTCAGTAGCTGAGTACCTCTGAGTTCAACCCCCAGTATCCCCCCCGCAATTATTTTTTTTTTAATTAAAAAACTGGGCAGAAAGTAATTCATTGTGCACCTCCGAAGGATACTAACAGAACCAACCCTGAGTAACAGTAAATAAATGAAAAGAATCAAACATCTATTATGTTTTTTTCTATGTGAACTGTTCCTCAATATATCCAAATGATTGATAAGGGAAGTTTTAGCTGGGCATGGTGGATCACAATTTGAGGCCAGCCTTAGCACCTTAGTAAGACCCTAAATAAAAGGGTTAGGGGCATGGCTCAGTAGTAGAGGGCCTCTAAGTTCAACCCCAGTACCACTAAATAAATAAATAAATAATAAAGGAAGTTTTTCTTCTGAGAATATGCCTAGTTAATCAATAAAGAATTGACAGACTGTCACAGTTTTAGCAACCCTTGATTAAATAACAAACCTAGAAAATGATCATTAATGGCTGCGAACATTACCAAAACAGAAACAATCAGACCTTATATAAAGCCTAATAGAAGTACAACACCATCTATGAAGCATTCTTGTCAGAACAATCAGGTCTGAATCTGATCCAGTCTCTGGAACTATTGTCCATTTACAGAAAATAGAGGAAACAAATACACTACAGATATGTAATCTAATCTGGGCACAGTGGTGCAAACCTGTAATCCCAGCAGCTTGGGAGGCTGAAGCAGGAGGATTGAGTTCAAAACCAGTCTCAGCAACTTAGTGAGACCCTGTCTCAAAATAAAATATAAAAAAAGGGCTCAGGGGCTAGGGCTGTAGTTCAGTTACCTAGCATGTGTGAGGCACTGGGTTCAAGTCTAAGCATGGCATATAAATAAATAAAGGTTGATCAACAACTAAAAATAACAAAAGGGCTGGGGACTTAGCTCAGTGGTTAAGCGCCCCTGGTACCAAAAAGAGAGAGAGAGAGAAAGAGAGAGGGGGAGGGAGAGAGAGAGAGAGAAAGAGAGAGAGAGATATGCAATCTAGGTGTGGGAAATTCTACAGGACTAACTAGGTGGTTTCTTTCACAATAGAAGCTGGGGAGTATTATTCAGTAGTAGATCATTTGCCAGCATGCCTGGTGCCCTGAGTTGGATCCCAGCACTTAAAAAAAAAAAAAAAAGGAAAAAAGAGGTGGGACCTATAGATTAATGAGTTTACAGGAAATATACTATATCTACATATATATATACACACACACAACGTATATATTTGGGGGGGGCGGTACTGGGATTGAACCCAGGGGGGCTTAACCACTGAGCCACATCCCCAGTCCTTTTTTTTTAAACTTTATTTAAAGACAGGGCCTCGCTGAATTGCTTAGGACCTCACTAAGTTGCTGAGGCTGGCTTTGAACTCATTGATCCTCCTGCCTCAGCCTCAAGATGCTGGATTACAGGCACCACCACATCTGGCTAAGAAATATATTTTAGCTCCTGCAATATGTAGACTTTTGTTGGGATCCTAACTCAAAAACTAAACATATATGTATTAGTCAAAACACTGACTAGATGTTTTTTTGGTGTGGTAATATTTTGGCTATCCTTTTTTAGAAAGCTCTTATTTTTTAGAAATGTACATTGAAATATTTATTTATGGATGAAACAGTATGAGGTCTGGGATTTCTTACAAATAATTCCCTGAGGGGGGAAAATTAGTAGAAACAAGACTTTATTTGATAAATGCCAAAATTAGATGATGGCTTTCTATGTGTATAGAGATTAAAAATTCCTAAATAAAGCAATTTAAATAAAAGTCAAAAATATAAAGGAAGAGAGGAATGTAAGGGACTTGATCAGTAAGTGACCAAGATGACCCTAGATACCAGGTCATCTACCTTCCTTGGTGTTCTCAGGGCTCTGAATCAACTTACTAATAAAAAGGAAAATAACAGATTAACATCTGTAATGTAACTGAGTACAAGGTCTTACTCTAGTGGTTTCTCAAAAAAACTATCAAATTGATTTGAATGCTTGACCTAATTATTAAAATAATAAACACAGAAAACACGTAATGAGGAAACACCAAGGATTATCCTGTATATACTGATGATCCTCCCAACAACCCAAAGCAGTAACACTATTAGTTCTGTTTATAAATGTGAAAACTGAGTTTAAGTAACCATATGGCTCAATATACAGTGACACTCTTTTTTTTTTTTAATATAGGCGGACACAATATCTTTATTTTATTTTTATATGGTGCTGAGGATGGAACCCAGTGCCTCACACATGGTAGGTGAGCACTCTAACTCTGAGCCACAACCCCAGCCCTACAGTGATACTTTTAATAAGGAAATCTGCTGTAGGCAACTTGCAGCAGTACAAATAACTTCAAAGAGCAGTGCCAAGAAAAGAGTGAGCTGAGGGGTCTTTAAAAACTCAGTAATGAAGACTTTTAAAAAATTTTTAAATGTTTAATATGTATATATGTATATATAATTAAAAAATTAAACTAGCCAACTATGTCTCATGAAGTTAACTGCTTGCTTTATTCTTTTTTTTTTTAAATCATTTATTCTATTTATTTAATTATTCCAGTTCTGGGGATTGAACCCAGGGATGCTCTATCATGGAGCTACACCATCAGCCCTTTTTATTTTTTATTTTAAGTTAGGGTCTCAAAATGTGATCTTCCTGCCTCAGCCTCCCCAGTAGCTTGGGACAACAGATCAGCTACACCTGCAGCTGCCTGCTTTTCCTAATAGTTTTGTTGGAAACAAGGTTTTTATTGGATTAGGATGAGGTGAGACAAAATCATGTAAGGTCGAGTCTTTATTTAAGTTTGCTATATTGCCAGGGGGGGTGGCACATGCCTGCAATCCCAGAGCCTGAGGCTGAGGCTGAGGCAGGAGGATCACAAGTTCAAGGCTAGCCTCAGCAACTTAGTGAGACCCTGTCTCAAAAAGATGGGGCTAGGGTTGTGGCTCAGCAGTAGAGCGCTCACCTAGCACCACATAAAAATAAAATAAAGGTTGTGTCCTACTACAACTAAAACAAATATTTGGAGAAAAAAAATGTTAAAAGGTCTGGGATGTGGCTCAGCGATAAAGCAATCCTAGGTTCAACCTCCAGTACCAAAAGGAAAAAAAAAAAAGTTTGCCCTTTTGTTCAAGATCAAATCATAGGCTTTTTGCATTAATTTCTGATTTTCTAAAATACTGCATTAATATGAACTTCACTTGATCACTGAATTTTTCCGTAGCTCCTTCAAATTTTGCTCCCAAGGCGAGAGAGCCTGGCCCTAGTCCCGACCTCAGAAAAGCGCACAGATCTGGAAACAGATGCTTTCTTTGACCAGAGACGCCTGGGAGCAGTCAGCGGCCAGCGAAGACCGCGGAGTGTTACTTCCGCGTCCGGAGACCTGTCGGGAAACGCTGGGGGCCGGCGCACGACTACCTCCAAGATCCGGTTCAGACCCGGTTCCGAACTTCCACAAGCTCTCCGGTCTACTCAGAACCTCGCCCCGCATCCCGCGGAGCCGGCCTTCTCTCTTTCGGGGCGCGGTAAGAGGAGCCCGCGCGGCAGGAAAGGCGCCAAGGGGAAGGGTGGGCTGCGGGGACAAGCTGAGGAGGGCTGGGCGGAGGCCCTCGCGCACCATCGACCCCAGGGGCACCGCCGCCAACCGAGCGCGGGAAGCCGGCTGCGGACCCCACGCGCGGCCGCGAGCCCACCTGGCAGAGCCGAGAAGATGCGGAGTCCGCCGGGAGCTGTAGTCCGCCGGGCCCCGCGCCCCAGCTCAGCGCCACTCCCGCCTGAACCCACCACTACCCTCGGCTTGCCGCCTCCGCTGCCCGGTGGGAGGCTTGTGCGTAAACTCACTTCAGAACCCACATCGCCCGCCATGAGTCCGGCCTCTCCAGCGTTCTGTTCCGGATGATTCGGTTCCCGGTTCCCTCAGCCTGGGGACAGCAGCTCCCGCCGTCTCCAGCCAGGCTGCGACGTTCGAGCTTTCGCGCCCAGCCGCAGTGGAGGCCCCACCTTCGATGATTTGCACCAATCCGGAGGAGGCGTTTCGTCCAAGGCCACGCCCCCATTCGTCCCACCAATCACGAAGCGCCTCCTGCCGGCCCTACGACTATAAACTAGGGTAGTTTGGCGGGTACTGGCTGTTCTTGTTAGTAGAACCAAGGGTAGGAGTTTCCTGCCGGTCCGGGCGGCCCAGCCCTTTTATCCCTGCAACAAGGGACCTTATGAGTGGTGGTCTTTGACATTTGACCCCTGCCGTAGCTCGACAGGTCGCACCAAGCAAATTGAGGGGTGAGCACTCCAGGCAAGAAGCAGACTGGGAATCGAACACCTAGTGGTGTTCTGTTATCGCAGGAAGACCGAGCTCCGCCCCCACCATCCTTGGAGCAGCTAAATGTTGGCGGCTGCTTCTACAAGGCACTCGCCCTTGTACATTAAAAAAGTTTTGCAAGATTCTCAGATACCAAAGAATATCCTTGGATGATCTTTATAAATTTACTTAGAGTTGATTCGAGGATGTTGATTCGAAAAGCACTCATCTCACCCCTAGAGGACTCCCCACCTTTGAATAAGCCTTGGGGTGAGAGGGAAATCAAAGCTCTGGCTCCAGATTTTTATTTATTTATTTATTGGTACTGAGGATTGAATTCAGAGACATTCGACCACTGAACCACTTCCCATTCCCAGTTAGCGCCTCGCCCCTTGTTGAAGCTGGCTTTGAACTCTCTTGAACTCTCAGCCTCCCCAGCCTCTGGGATTGCAGGCGTGGGCCTTCACACCGGCCCGAGTCAGATTTATCCTAGCTCATTCTAATCTCAGTTTTGCCCACTATGTGGGTTATTTTCTTTTTTGCCTTTCTGAGTCATTTCTGTTTTTTCTTGTGACCTTTCTGTGTCCAAGCAAGGCTGACTTCTCAGGACTCTTCAGCTCTCTTGCCCTCTGTCTTCTTTTGGGTCAGGCCACTCTAAGGCACTTTACAAGATACTGTAAGGTGAAGATCAGAGCGCACAAGGAAAGAAAGATCAAAGTATCTGTCATCCCACTTCACCTCCACGGTCATATCCAATAGTAGGATGACCAACTAGGTTCAATTTGTCCAGGACTTTCCCAGTGAAAGTTCCACAACGCTGGGAACCTCCTCAGTCATAGGCATACCAGGACAGTTGGTCACTGTATCCACAGTCCTCCTCTTCCAAGTTTCCACTTTTGGCTGGGTTCAGTTAAAAAGCTCCTATCCTCACCTTCATTTCTTCACCTCTTTACCACCTCTCAAACCACTTCTGCACTCATCAAGATCTTGGGCTGGGAATGTAGCTCAGTGGCAGAGCACTTGCCTAGTATGCATCAGGCCCTGGGTTCAATTCTTAGAACCAAAAAGGAAGAAAAAGAAATAATAATCTAATCCTCATTTCTTAGTCTATTTGTATTTTCATCCATTTTACTACTAATTTCTATATGGATGATTCTCAATTATACATCTATAGCACCCCTCATCATGTGGAGGATTGATATTTATTAGATGCATGTCAGACACAAGTTGCCACATTTTATAATCATTATCTTATTTAATCTATGAAACAAGCCAGTAAGGTAAGTAATATGATGCTTTCCATTTTAGCAGATGAGAAAATCATACTTTTAAAATGCTAGTAATTGGTGGAACCCATTTGTATATCCTACTATTTGGGACTTGAGAACTCACATCCCTCAGAAAGAACTTGCCAGAGCAATCTCCCTTCTCCTGTTCTGTTTTCCCTGATAACACCTCTTCCTAAAAGTAAATTTTTATCTATCTGTCTGTTGTTGCTCCAAGAAGACAGGCACTCTGGACTTTTTAACCACTGTATTCTCACTATCTAGAATAGTCATTCTCAAATTTGAACATGTGTCAGATGTCTGAAAGGCTGGTAAAAACACAGATTGCTGGGTTCACCCCTATCATTTCTAGTTCAGTGTGCCTAAAATGGGGTCCAAGAATGTGTATTTCTAACAAGTTCCCAGGTAATGCTTATGTTACTAATTTGGTGACCATACTTTGAGAACCAAGGGTTTGGAACAACCCTGGCTCATGGTAGGGAAAATAATAAATATTTGCTGAACTGATTTAATTCATTTGACAATATATTGTACTTTTTTAAAAAAATATTTTTTAGTTGTCAATGGACCTTTATTTTATTTATTTTTATACGGTGCTGAGAATCGAACCCAGTGCCTTGTACATGCTAGGTAGGTGTTCTACCACTGAGCCACCACCCCAGCTATATTGTACTTTTTGAACTCCCTCTGAAAGTGAATAAAGGAAATAATATGGCTTATACTAATATTTTCAGATCTCTTTAAAGAAGCTCTTCACTTGTTCACCAGGGAAGCTAAGAGAGAAAGCTCCAGCTAGATGCAGTGGTGTGCACCTGTAATCCCAGCAACTTGGAAAGCCAAGGCAGGAGGATTATGAGTCCAAGGCCAGCCTCAGCAACTTAGTGAGATCATGTCTCAAAACAAAAAATAAAAAGGGCTCCATTTGTATACAATATGTCAAAATGCATTCTACTGTCATGTATATCTAATTAGAACAAATTTTAAAAATGAAAATAAATAAAACATTAAACAATTCTGAGTAGATTTTAAAAGTTCTTACCACATACATTAAAAAATGATTATATGAGATAATACATGTTAATTAGACTGATTTAGTCATTCCACAGTGTATGCCTATATCAAACTATCATGTTGTATACCATAAATATCTAAAATTTTGATTTGTCTATTAAAAGTAGTAATATGCCAAAAAATGAAAAAGGCAGGGAATATGGATCAGTGGTAGAGCTCCCCTGGATTCAACCCATTACCACAATTTTATAATAATAATAATAATAACAACAACAACATCAACAGTAATACTGAAGGGAGAGAGAGAAAGCTCCAATTTGAAAAAAAAATGAGTGGACAGTGAACTAAAAAATGGAAAATTTTATTCATTTGTTTATTGTGGTAACACATCTATAACATAAAATTTACCATTTTAACCTTTTTTTGTGGATGTGATGGCAACTGAACCCAAGGCCTTACCTGAGCTTAGCACATACTCTATCTCTGAGCTACACCCCCAGCCTTAACAAATTTTAATATATTTTTTAGTTGTTGATGGGCCTTTGTTTTCTTTCTTTATTTATATGCGGTGCTGAGAATCAAACCCAGTGCCTCACACATGCTAGGCAAGCACTCTACCACTAAGCCACAACCCCAGCCCCAGCCTTAATAATTTTAAAGTAGAGACAATTCGATAGTGTTAAGTACATTCACATTACAACCAATCTTCAGAACTCTTCATCTTATAAAATGAAACCCTATACCCACCAAACAATTCCGCCTTCCTCCCATCCCCAGGAAAGCTTTTACTCTCATCTATACATTAACTTGCGTCAAGCTAAAATGAGTCATTTTGGAATTGGCAGCCTGTATTCTCAATTTTAGAGAACGACATCATAATCCAGCATCTACCAACCCAGAAACCTGGGAGTCACCCTTGGCTCCTTTACCCCTTGCCCCTCATGGTTAATACAACAAGCCCTGATTACCAAGTTGATAGATGGCAAGAAGGGAAATATCTGGAGTGTTTACTCTATAAGGATTAGCCTTATCTTGTTCCACACATGGATTTATTAATTTAGGTAGGTCATTTATTTTCTTAGAGCCTTGTTTTCCTTATTTGTAACTAGAAAACATTGAATCAGATCATGATTCTCAAATGGGTTTGGACTGGGGTTGTACCGCAGAGTAGTACACTTGCCAAGCATGCTCAAAGACCTGGGTTTAATCTCTAGTACTTCAAGAAGAAAAAAAAAAAAATCAGGGGAAGGGCTCAGGGTGCTAATTGTCAGTATACCTGGAAGTATAGTATTGTACGTGGAATGTTTAGCGGTGCTGATGCTCTCAGTCGTGTCATTATAAATTAAAAAACATTTTCAATAGTAGGTTATATTATATATCACACAAAATCAATATTTTAAAATAAATTCTGAGACTACATGTCCATGAAAAAATAAGTCATGGATTTTAATATGCACAGCCTATTCCCAAATGTTCTATTTATATTTGTCCTTTGTCAGATAATAGCAGATACCAAAGCTTAAGGAAGTTTGGAGGGAGATAAATGACTAAAGTATATGTTTTACTTTTTAAATTTTAATTGAGAAAAATCTACCATGTTACATTTGTTCCACTACTACTCTTCCTCTGCAGCAGCTTGAGAACTACTTGCTTTTCTGAAGTCCTGGGACTCCACATCTTTTTCCCTGGAGAAGCACTGCCGCCATGTGGCAAGTTTTGGTCATGTCATCCCACCTATTAACCATTCTTCTAAACCTTTTCAGCTTGCACATATTGCATGGGGGACCATTTTGAAGATTATTTGAAAAGTTATTTAAATTTCCCTTTGGTAGGGTGAAATAGTCACATCTCCCAATACCTGACTTCAAAAATAGCTTCATAATTTAAGATGGGCATGGTGGCACATGCCTGTAATTCCAGCCATTCAGGAGGCTGAGGCAAAAGATTACAAGTTCCAGGATAGCCCGGACAACTTTGCAAGACCCTCTCTCAAAACTTAAAAATTAATAATAATAAAAGGGCTGGGGATACGGCTCAGTGGTTGAATGCCGCTCGGTTCAATCCTTAGTACCACACAAAAATAGCTTCATATTTTAATTCCAAACATTTTTAAAGCTCTTGGAATGTGTCCTGCTTGGAAGACAGGGATGTTTTTCTTTCCTTAATGTAGTACCTCCTGATCTTTAAAAATTTTACAGGAACCAGGTGCCGTGGCTCATGCCTGTCAACAGCTCAGGAGGCTGAAGCAGGAGGATCAAAAATTCAAAACCAGCCTCAGCAAAAAGGGAGATGCTAAGCAACTTAGTGAGACCCTGTCTCT